AGTAGAAAGTTAATAGTGTAAATATCCAAAAGAGCTTGGGTCTGTTTCTCTGTTGAGCACATTGCTACAAGGCTGGAGGAGCTCGGTTATATTTTTGAATGTGAACTGTCCTTCACAAGCTCATGTGTTTAAACACTTAAGTCTCTAGCTAACATTGTTCGGGGGAGGCATTAGAGCCTTTAGCACATGGGGCCTACTTGCTAGACATAGGCCACCAGCAGTGGGTTTTTGATAGTGATAGGCCAGCCCCATTTTCAGTCCACATGCTCTCCTTGGTTCCCCAGATGTAAGAAGTGGAAGCAGTGACCATGTACCTCCACGGACCACGCAGCTGCTCCTTCCCCTCATGGCAGACTGAGGCTGTGCGCCAAAATACATTTTTCTCCCTTAAGCTGTTTCTGTCAAATATTTTTCTCATACTAAAGAGAAAAGCAATAAACACTGAATCCAAAGGAATGCTTTGTCTTTGTATCAGGAGTAAAAATTCAAAGTTTCTGTTTACAGCTTTCCCAACATTTTGAGAAGTAATTTCAGGTAAACCTAAGAAATTCTGTTTTTATAATCAAATACTTCTATATATGTTCTATTATCTCTATGATTAATTTCCATAATAAGTCACACACTGGCTTTGTGGGGAAACAGGACTGGCTCTTATCCTCATATTTCAGCTGACATTTAATATGTAGCTTTCTATTTATATAAGATTGACCATGGCTAGAAAAATTGAGGACAGCAGGCGAGGCTCTGCAAACCAGCTAATAGTTTCTCCACTCCTCCTCTGTGCCCCATAGTTCTCAATACCAAGCATGATTGACACTTCCCTAACCAATCACCTGCTGTGTGAAAGTTGTGTCTTAAGAAAGTTGCTGAACTTCCTAAGCCTTCATTCCATTTCTACAGAAGGAATGGACGCTTAGAAGGTTAAGTCCTCCACCGTTGATGCTTTTTGAAATCCTAGGGATTATTAACTAAAAACAGCAGATGTAAATGCTTCTAAGTATACTGTGTATTCAGCACAGGCATATTCATTGGTGTGGTGAGAGTCTTTTAAAATTGAAATGCACGGATGATAATGAATCAGATATACAGATTATTTTCCTCTCTACCAACTTAAGCTTTGAACCTAAAGTTTTTAACCTTTAGTCTCAAGATAGCCTATAAACTTTCTTGAAAGTAGATCCAAAGATTGTAGTAGTTTTTACAATGCTTTTAAAAGAAGTTTCTGATGACCTCATAATAGTGAAAATATTCTATATATAACAAATACCTGGATGGAAAAATATGATAAATCTAAAATCAAATTAATGCTATACATCAAATCCTTTTCATGACAAAACTAAATAGTTTAATTGAAGATAGAAAGCCATAGTTTGAAGATAGTGTCAGAAAGGCAAGCACATTTAGATATACCTATTTCCTAAGGAATGACTACAAGGCAAGTTAGTATCATGGACACTCTGCATGATGGGCCCAGCCCACACATTTCATGCCTTTGTATGAAAAGCATAGTCCATCAACGTAGCAAGGCTCACATTTATGGAAAACACATGAGCTTTACAGTTAACCCTACATGGACTTGAATCCTAGCACTGCAGCTGTTTAGGAACGTGTGAGTTTGCAAGTTATGGAAATTCATAACACCTCAGTTTGTACATCTGCTGAAATGGAGTAACCATCTCCTTGCAGAGATGCTGTATAGCTATAGAGGGTATAGATAATGAGTATAACATATTTGAAGAACGGTATTGATTTTTTTAAAGTTACAAATACTAACAAAAACAGACACCAGTGAGTGACGGTGAAGAGGGTAGGCCTGGAGTAAACACCACAGCTTTTATCACCGATTTTTTCTTTCTTAGAAAGTTCATTGAGTGAGTGTAAATTACAATTTGAAAAAAATAAATAAATTATCAAAAAAAAAGAAAGTTCATATCATGTAAACAATGACTGTCCACAGCTGATCTCTTTTCTCTTATATCTACACGGCTTTGCTTTGACACCGTCAACAAGACACTTCTCAGACACAGCACAACACTAAATGAAGCTAACAATAGCACCTACCAAATACGTAGTCATATATGGAAGCTTAGACAATATCTGGCACCAACATATTATAAGAACCCAATGTCTTAGCTGTTGCTGCTACTGTTTCTTTAGCCACTGTGGGAAGGGCATTGTGATGGTGAAGAAACTGAAAACTGAAGCAAATGAAATCCCTCAGAAATGACAATCAGGATTTTAGACAAATGTGTAGAGCATGAGATGTTAGCTCAATGACAAAATCAAAACTGGAGTGTAGATCACGGGGAATTAATTAATCTGAAATCCTAGAAAAGGCAGTTTTCACAGGATCTGTTGGAAGAAGAATTTTCAAAATCAAAACTTTCAAAGTCAATTTTTATTTTTTTTTAATAGTAAAGAATTATGAGGCAAGTGGGAATATATTTTGTCTTCCTCTTCTCCCCAAATCATGTTATTTCTCAGTACACCCCCCGACCCCCGGCCTCCATTCTTGTCATTTTTCTAAATCCATTTTACAAAGGTCAGAAAAGCATCCCTAATCCCTTCCTTTCGCTTCCCAGAACATGACTTATAAAACTTAGCCACTTAACAAACACTAAAGGACTGCTGTGCCCATAAACCATCCCAGAAACAGCCACCCAACCAGAACATTCCAACTTGCAGAGATAACATAATCCTGTTGTTTTGGGTGTGACTCTATGAGAGGGATGGAGGGCTGTGATTCAAAATGCTGTCTCTAGCAACTTAGATAGGCATGATTGAAGTTGCACCAAGGCAAAACACAGGGTGCCCCATAAGCTGTCTACTCCAGGAGCTCCAGAGCACTCACTTCCTTGTGCAGGGCCAGATAAAGGACTAGAGGCTCAGCCAAGATCCTTTGGGCCTTCAAGAAAAGCATCAGGGATGAACTTCAAAGAACCATACCATGGGATGGGATAAAGAGCAGAAGACACATTCTTCCAGTCCTAAGTGGCTGCAGCTCACCCCCAAGAACAGTAACTTCAGCAGCCAGTTCATTCGATTTCTACTGTAAGTGATATAAGCACAAGCCAAGTCAGCACCAAAACTCCCAACAGAGTTCAGTGGGCGTTAGGTCAGCTGCACTCTATTGACAACTGCTGAACTCAAAGCCTCTAATGAGGCAGTTCAGCAACACTATGTGTCCTGCCACCAGTGAGACTCTTTTTCCATGAATAATGAACAAGAACATCATTTCTGTTGCCAGGTACACAACATAAACAAAGCTCAACATGGGCCTTGATAGAGTGAGCTTGTCCATTTGAAATAAAAGAATTTTTCAAAGTGCAAGCCAAGTTTTAGCGGAGGGTGGGACAAGCTGTTGTAACAAGTAATGCGAACATATGTTATCAGAATTTAATAAATCAGTTTTTGATTGTTGAGGAATGGAGGCTGTGCAATGGGATACATTGAGACAATGAGTAAGTCCAAGTGAGTTCATTTCTTTACTTGGCAATCAGTTTTATAACACAAGGCTGCTGATTTCTGTAATGAACTGAGATCCTCAGGAAAGGAGTCTTGAGACTTGTGATCTCAAAGGCTTTTTTAGTTAAAGTCTTACTTCTTAAGGCTTAGTGGCCTAGGAGAGATCAGCACTGATGACAAGAACAAGAACCTTGCATTGGGCAAAATGCACTGCCAGGTAGGGCCATGGCATGCGACTACCCTTTTTGGGACTGACGACATTCACTATATGAACATTGTGCCCACAATGATGTATAGCTTACATCTCTAAGCTTCAACTGAACAGTGAGAGTCTAGAGAATAAACATAGAATAAAAATGAGCTGATGTGAAGGCCAAACACTCTTCAGTTTGTTTACTTAAAAGTATTCCGCAAATACTTAAAATCAGCTCCATACTAAGTAGTGTATATCTGGTTACACAGGGTATGCATGTCTACACAGGCAAACTGATGCCATTCCTGGCTAAAGGCTTTTAGTTTCCATCAATCTGAACAAGACTTTGAGAAAAAACAAACAAAAACAGGCGCACAATAGCTCAGTTTCCTTAATAAGAAAGAAAAACAACACCACCCCTTAGGGAGGATTTATGTCAAAAATAAAATCCAAATGATATAGTTTGTTCTCTATGTTCAAAGAATTCCAGAAAAATCTGTGACCTGAATAATACTCAAATGGACTAATGAAGCTTACTAAAGAAAGAATATTTTACAATGCAAAAAGATTATTATACAGTAACCATGCCATAATATCAAATCTATAAACAAACACATTCTACGGAATTATTAAGTCAGAAGAGTGTTGAGTTTTATAGAGTCTAAGGATAGCAGGAAATTATGCATATAATTTTATACTATTAATCAAATACTAAATTCATAGCTAGAGACAGAACTGTCTCTAGACTGTACCAGTTCATTTACCTGACTCATTGGTAATAGGTAAAGTAGAAAAAGCTTATGAGGAAGTGAGCACCCGGGTGAAGGGCCTTCAAAGACACCACAGAAAGAAATGGGGATAGTCTCTTATTAAGGAAGACACACAGGAAAGGGAACAGAACTTGTGCTCTAAACATTTGTTCCACTGGCACCTGTGCCAAGGCACAGGTTGTTCTGTATTGTTGTCCTGTATTGGTCTAGAACATCAACAAGGTGACCACAGTGAACCTGCAAGGTATCATGGGAAGACTTGATACGCTCAATCCAGCATGGAGTGTCTCTTGATCAGGAGGGAATCAAGAAGAGACACACAGCTGCCTGGCTGGGAGAGTGTGAGCAGGGTGTGCCTAGTTCAGGTAAGAGGGGACACAAGCTAACAATGCTTCCCCCGGGTAAGCACTAGACTCAGGGTGCTGGAGAATAACCATCAGAACACTATAGTGACAATTCTTAGAGTAATATCAATATCAAAGTCCTAGTTGAAATTGTCTTTCCTATATAATCACTGAATTATGTCAAGGAGAATGGAGTTCTCAAATGCATAAAAATACCCAAGGACTTACCATCATACTTTGCTAAGACTGCCTGAACATCAGCATAAGCTTGGAGTTCCAGAAGAGCTTCTAGAAGGTTTTCATGGATGTTGAACATGCTTAGGAGGGGGAACTCCTTCATTAACTATGAAAGAAGAGACCAGGGAAATAATTAATACACATGACTTACGTTCTCACATTTATATTTAAGAAATAAAACATATATATGTAGTAAATAATTCCTATAGTCAAGTATTTTTAAGAAATAGTTCTTGAGGCTGGGGAAATGGCTCAGTCAGTAAAGTGCTTGACACATAATCTAAGGGACTTGAGTTCAATCTCCTGAACTCTTATTGAAAACAAAAACAAACAAACAAAATCTCCAGAGCATGCCTTATAACCTCCATGCTGTGCTGGAGAGGTCATGGCAGAAGAATCCCTAGGGCTTGCTGGCAGCTAATTTAGCTGAATCAGGAAGTTAGACATTCAGTGAGAAACCCTATCTCAAAACAAAAGAAAAAGGAAAGGAAGAGAGGAAGAAAAGGAGGGAGGAAGGAAGGAAGGAAGGAAAAAAGGTAGAAAGAAGGAAAGAAAAGAAAAAAACAGAAAACAAGATAAATTGACATCTAGCCTCCTCATACATATGCACACGTGCACGCGCCCGCAAACACACATACACACACACACACACAAGAAATAATTATTTTTACAGTATAACTGATAAAAAATTGTCCCATTTATACAATATAAATATATAGGGACCAAGCGATGCCTGACTTGGTAAAGTGCTTACCACATAAGCGTGAGACCTCAGTTTGATTCCTAGCACCCATTTAGAAAGAAATGTCGCTGCAACAGCTTGCTTCTGTAGCTCCCAGACTGAGGTGGCAGAGACAGACCTACACTGGAACTTGCTGCTAGCCAGCCTAGCCCAGCCAGCAAGCCTCAGGTTCCACTGAGAGATGCAGCTGTCTTGTTTTCTCTGCAGCATGTGGTGTAAGGCTAAGGAGACAAAACCCCAGCCTGGAGGCAGGAGGTGGGCATGAACTCCTCCCGCTAGAGCAGCAGCTAACGGTAATTCCTAGCTTCTAGGGGAGAGAGCCACTTTCCATTGGGGAAGCAGCTCCTGGAAAGTTGACCACATTTCCGAGGATGGTCCCACACCCAAGAGGATATTGGCCGCACAAACAGAACTTGAAAGGACTGAAAAACGTAGAAGACACAATGTTGGATGGGTAAGGAAGAGAAGTAGGTCTGGGGGCAATTGGGAATGGATAACTACGATAAAAAACCAATTGTATAAAATTCTCAAGTCAATCAAAATATTTTTGATTTTTAAAAAAGTTTTGGTGAAAACAAAGCAAAGGAAAGTGCACCTGACAACACACAAATCTGACCCCTGGCATCCCCATGTAAGCACACATGTGCACATTCAATTACATATACGTGTAGAACTACAACACAAACACACACATACATGAAAACACACATATATATTATAATCCTTTAAAAATATTAAAAATTATTACTAGATTATAAATAAACATATTTAAATCATTAAAAGCTTTCCCCCTCCTTGTTCTTTTAGAAAAATGACCAGAATTTATACAAATTTTACGTGGGAAGAAACCCAAAAGAGAGAGGTTCTCAGAACAGTAATAGATGTTCAGTAACTACAAAATACCATAAAGAGACTAAATCTGGTGAGGAAGGAAATGTAGCCCACAGACTTTAACAGTTACTAGTAGCGTGGCCAGAGCAATTTGGATGGAAGGCAGAGAGTAAACAGAGAGGCTTGAGGACTATTACTTCAAGCAGCCTGGACAAAACTGGGAACTAGGAAAGCAGCTAGCTAGAAAGTAGGATGGCTGAGAGAAGATGTGATAGAGATTGTATGTTGGGGTGGGGGTGGGGTGAGGGGATAACCTGAGTAAAACAGGAAGCAAGGTCATCTTGGATCAGGGGAAAGAAATGATGCAAGAAGTTTAAAGACAGAGATGAATGTGCACAATATCAAGAAAAAAAAAAAACTCTGCTCAGACTAAGGACATCTTGAGAACCTAACAAACTGGAGACTGAATGCATAGCAGCCACAGCTGCATGATTGTTGCATTTCAGAGAACAGTAGCTATCAGCTGAGCACATCAGCAAGAAGTTCTATGGTTAGGTTGGACCTGGCAAGTTGGATGAAGTTCTGTAAAAGAACAAGAAGCAAGCGTTGGGACTGTAACAATTATAGATTAGTGGAGCATGCAGTGCTTTCCAGCTAGATACAGGAAGGACAGCCCCAAGAGATCAAAGCGTAACAGTGCTTAACTCCAGTGAGCGTAAGGAGAGAGACAGACCAGGACTTCCTAGTACATCTTCTCTTACAGAAGGGTTAAACTGCATCTTGAAGGAGAGGACCAGATTCTTTATAAAGTAAATGCATGTATTTGTGAGGCTCTAGTTCAGTGGTTCTCAATTATAGGTTGTGACCCCTTTAAGAGTCAAATGTCAGGTATCGTGCAAATGAGATATTATATTATGATTCATTATGATTCATAACTGTAACAAAATTACGAAGTAGCAACAAAAATCATTTTATGATTGGGGGTCACCACAACACGAGGAACCATATTAAAGGGTCACAGCATTAGGAAGGTTGAGAACCACTGATTTACTTAAGCTTCTAAATGGATAACTATTTTCAATTATAATATGATGACCTCTAAAAGGTTTATAAATCTTTTTATGTCAATATTCATGATAGAAACTATGCTGAGATAAATAATAATAAAGTATAGGTGTGCTAGCTAGTTTTATGACAACTTGACACAAGGCATAGTCATTGGACAGGCGAGAGTCTCAACTGAGAAATACTTCAGAAAGATCTAGCTTCAGGCAAGCCTGTAGGTCATTTTCTTAGTGACTGGCATGGGAGGGCCCAGCCCTTTGTGGATAGGGACATCAGTGGACAGGTAATCATGTGTTCTATAAGGAAGGAGGTTGAGCAAGCCATGGTGAACAAGCCTCTGCATCAGCCCTTCCTTCCAAGTCTCAGCCCTGCTTGAGCTCCTGCCCTGGCTTCCTTCAGTGATGAACCACGAAGTGGAAGTAAGTTTGTCATGGTGTCTCACGATAGCAATATCATAAAATAGCCTAAGATAACAGGCTAATTTGCCACTAAACAGGAAATTAATCAATATGTGGTGTTGACTGTCTACTTTTTTTTGTTAAGAATATTTTCAATATCCTTTTGTATTTTAAAGCCATGACTCATTTAGGACATTTTTTAGTTTAGTTTAGTATTGTTTTCAAACCCAAAGAACATCATTTTACTACTAAAAACACCTATCAAAACCATTTTGTGTCCAAAAGACCCATGGTTTGAACTTCCAGAGAAAGGTCTGCAATATTTTCATTGCTATTAAAGGAAGCCAATGAGACAAGCCACACACTGTGGATGTTCTGTAACTAATAAAAGTAGTTCTTGTTCTGGTTCACTTTGGTTCTGGCTGACACCATCCTTTGATTTTTTTTCACTTTTTCTAATTAAAGCTTGTTAGAACTTAAGTTCTCTGTCATAAAGCAGCTGGCAACACAATAAAGACATTTACTGAACTGTAAAATTTAAACATTTATCACTTTTGACCTATTTTTCAAGTAATAATCAAATTTCAAGGATAAACATCATATTATGTAATTTTAAAATATAATTCCAAATATTAGTTACTAAAGCTTAAATGTGAACTCTCAATAAAACCCAAGAAGACAAGTGTACACTGGAACTTTAAAATTACTTTAGTGTTTGGGATCTCAGTCCCATCATCTCCATGTGAAGAGCTCCCATATGCAAACACCTGCTCTGCCTTCTCACATAAGAGGTAAGATCAATGTATAACTGTCTCCTGACAGTTTTACCTTGTGTCTATAAAGGTAAAGTCAACTGAAAGTTTCCCTTTCCTAGACCAACTTATCAAATCTGTTCTTCATTCTTGGTATCTCCTGCATTGGAGCACAGTACTATCAGTCTCTCATTAATGTCTTGTCCCTACCACTACTGATACCTTTCAGTACTAACCCTGATGCCTGTAATATATAAAATATATAGATAACACTCAGGATCTCACAAAGCTGTTTAGAAAACAAATACATTAAGATTAGGTATAATCACCTTTGTTGAAATGGCTCAGAGGGAGAGTGTTAGACTGAGAATAAGCAGTTTCTTTTCCTTGAGCTTGATGTCCGAATTTTACTTATACTCATACTTTGAGCTAAAGTGTGTCAGTATAAGCATCATTAGTTTTACCTTACTATCACCTCTTTCTGACTCAACCGCTATAAGCCTGTTGTAACTTTTTTTAAAACATATATTAAAATTATCCTTCATGACCCTATATGTCTAGACAATTCCACTAGATCATTGACATGGTTATCTGTATCTCCAAAAAACCAGTCAGATGCAGATACTAATTTACAAAGAACCTGTTTATCACATTACATGTTACAGTAAAGAAAAATGCATGTACCTTAAATGTGACCGGTTATAAAACATTTACATATAGTAAATATCATTTTTTAAATTATGTGTAGTTATTAGAAGTTAAGTTCTCCTTGAAGGTAAATCCCTATTGGTGAAAACAGCATACACTGTAGTCACAGAACATGGAGAGATCAAATTGATACGGACCTAGAAACGTTCTCCATGCTGACTCATTTTCATAGTACTGGAAGGTGCTATCTAGGCTACTGGGGGAAGAAGGGGGTAAGCCATTGACAACCTTACCAGCTGTGAATCCTGTAAACTACATAAAAAACCAATTGGCAAGATATGTCCATGGGTATAACAGTGGTATGAATTATGAGTGTAACCAACCCCACCTTTTTTCCCATCAGATTTAAGATGTGCCCCACGGGAGGACACACTTGTATGTACTATAAATATAGCCAAGAACTTGTGGTTGGGAAGCTTACAGATCCAGAGAGGGCAGGAGGGGGGAGAAGCCTACTATCATCATTCTACCAAAGAGAAACAGTATCAAACTGTTGTCTACATTTGTATTGTGTCTTTCAACACCTACAGCCCTCAGCACCCATCAGAGAAGTTTCTTTGTATGATGGATGGTAGTTTAACTCAGAAATGTAGAACTGGTCCAAGTGCAG